AATGAGTGAAGATTCGGAGGTTTTTCTACTCATGACTTTCTCACTGATATTTTTAGCAAAGCAATGACATTTTTGGCAACATTGACTCCTAAAACTAGATGCTAACCTCATCTTGAAGCTCTTGGGGTTTGGTAAAAATTCAAAGCCAGGCTGTTTCAGGTTTGTGTTCTCTCTGTTCTTTCTACCTTGCTTCCCCAAGCTAATTCTTTTTTAAATAGGTTTTTATTGATTTTTTAGAGAGAGAAGAAGGGAGAGAGAGAGACAGAGACCTCGATGTGAGAGAGGAACACAGATGAGCTGCCTCCTTTATGCCCCGTACTGGGGACCAAGCCTGCAACCCGGGCATGTGCCCTGACTGGGAATCAAACGTCCATGGGACCACGCTCAGTCCACTGAGTCACACTGCCGGGCCCCAAGCTAATTCTTGCCAGCCCCTCCAGATTCCACTCGGGGCTCTTCCTCAATGCTTGCCTTGGAGCCCTCGGGTGGGCTCAGTGGCCCTTACCCTGTTTCCCGGAAAGGTGACCGCACTATGTGGACATAACCTTCTAATGGGTCTACCTTTCCTACTACACAGTTAGGAGCCTGGAGAGCAGGGACCTTGTTTCTACATCTTCAAGTTCACCTCCCTAAGGCTTGCCTTGGAGTCTGTGCTGGAGGGCTCAGGTCGATCCTATGAGAAAGATTCCTTCCTTCAAGGAACAGTGGGAAAACAAACATGGATAAACCAAGAATGAGGTTTCCTTCATTCTCCTTGCCCGCCTCATTGAGAAAACCTCCCTTCTTGAACATAGCTGGTACTGGGCCATCCAGACCACCCGCAGCACCTACCTCTGTACGCTACACTCCCTGTTTTCTACTTGCTGAGATGGAGCGCGACCGGGGAGCACGGAGGAGTCCACTAAGGTCTAGCGAAGGTCCCGGATCTGGGAGGACCTCCCGCCCTCCTGGACGAGAGCTAGTACAGGTACGCCAACATTCTCTCTCTCCCTTTGCAATCTGAAATGACAACACATCTAAATTCACACCTCTGGACGCTTCTACGGCCTCACCTGATGAAAAGTCTGGTTCCTTGCTCAGGACCACCTCCCCTCCCTCAGGCCTCACGCCCACCTACACCTCGTCCGTCCACGCACCTTTGAAAGCCCAGCCCCAATGCCACCGCCTTCTGAACGTCTCTTCGCTTTCAGCAGAGGTGGCCGTATCCTTCCCTGACCCAGGCCACTTATTGTCTGCGTTGAGACTGTTTTGTAAGCTTGCTTTTTCCCTTGACTTGATTAGAAGGCCATGGTGAAGGGGACAAATTCCATCCTGCTCACTGTCCCCTTCCCTACAGTGCCTTTCATGTATCCAGTTTTCCATGAACAGTTGCTGAACACAAGGACTGAGGCTGCTGATCTAACTCAAACACACATGTGTACATGAGGGTGAGGGATAAAGATCTGACCACCGTCACCATATTCACAGTAAGCGTTTCTTGTACTACACGAGAAGTTATCCCTCACAACCAATTCCTGACTTGTTTTTAGGTAGGCTTAACTTCTTGATGATTTTGGTGTTTGTTTCCTTTGGGGTTTTTTTTAATGTATGGAGATTTATCTGTGAAACAAATCTATCATTTGGGCTAAGAAATTAGCATCATCCACACAATCTTAAAGGGAGTTGTGGTATTTTTAGTGAACCACTTCCTTTCCTGACCTCCTTTAATGCATGTGATAGAGATTTTACTAATCTAACTTCCCAGCACCCTCCAATACTCTGCCGGTCACTAGGGCATTTTGAAATCAACCACTGAAGGAGTAAACAGCGGAAGGATGGAAAATAACCTCTTGCCACTACAGACCCATTCGAATGCCGTAGCTCCTGTAAGGGCTGTTTTAATCCTAGGCTTCTCCCTTCTTTAAAGTCTTGGCTACTTCCTCAGTTATAGCTGGGCAGGGTTGGAGAAGATGGTGAGGACCCCATGACATGCAAGAAGGTTCTGTTTTCTTTTTTGTTTGTTTTTTTAAAAATTTTTTTCTTTATTGATTTTTAGAGAGAGAGGATGACAGAGGGAGAGAGAGAGAGAAACACTGATGGGAGAGAATATTGATTGGCTGCCTCCTGCATGCCCCCCACTAGGGATTGGGCCCACAACCTGGTCATGTGCCCTGATCAGGAATCAAACTGATGACCTCTTGGTGCATGGGTTGATGTTCAACCACTGAGCTGCCCCAACTGGGCAGGCTCTGCCTTCTTTGAGATAATCCCCCCAAATGATTTTCCCCTAACCATTTCCCCCTACTATTAGTTCACTGTTTCTCAGACTTTCCTCTTTCCCATATGACCTTCAAGATTTTTGCCTTTTCTGAATATCACCTTATATTAACTTTAATAATTAAAAAAAAACAATTTCCTCTTTTTACTTAAGTAAAGTCTCACCTTAGTCCCCCCCCCCAATCTCACCCAAAGATCTATAGAGTAGGGAGACATAGGGCTTCCTGAATCCATCCACTGCTCCCCTCAGGTTCCCACTACCATGGCCACAGAACCTTGCACACAAAGGGGGCTCTGTAAACAGTGGCTGAATGAGTGAGTCTGTCAACACTGCTACGGAGACCATCATCATCTTCCCATCCCTCCTTTGCCTGGTCTAGCTTGTAAACACCCTGAAATTCATGGTCCCTGTGTTATGACTGGTCATTTATAAACTTATAAAAAAATGAAGTACAGAGTTGATCTTCATTTTATTTATGTTGAGCTATATGAAGAGGTATTTAATGGTCTTGCTTGTGTGCCTCCCATCCAATCTTTCCAAACTGACACAACTTTTAAAAAATTGTCACAACAATTAAAAAAAAAATTGAGTGAGACCAAGGAGCTCACTATTAAAGTAGGGTGGAAAAATTCTGCCTCACAGGTCGGATCGTTTGCTTTGGTGATCAACTCCAGCTAGTAAACAACCTGAAGCACAAGTTCAGCCTTTTCATGAGCCAAATTCATCAATGTAAGACCAAGATATATGTTCATATTTGCTAACACGATTTAAACAGCTTATGTAACAACATTCAGCTCAGCTAGGTAGATTGGCTAAAAGTGATATAACATCCTTGATACAGAAGATTTTAGATTCAAATAGGATTTTAAATTAAAACAACTAGCTGATGTGGCTCTGTAGAACAACTTACAAAATCCCCTAGCCACAAACACAGACAAAATATTTGCATTATCCACCACTGCTTTGGTCCCCCTACACCAGTAACATTTAGCAAGCTCAAGAGTTTGCCTGTAAGAAAATATACTTGTTCCCTTAGAATGCAAACCGATAAACAACTTTATTTTCTCAAATGTCATAAAAGTGTTTATAAAATTCTTTCTTTGTCTTGGGTCCACAACACTTAATAAAGTGACCTTTTCTCTGTGTGAATTCAGTGACTATTGTGTAGGAAAAAACAAGATTGTGAGGATCAACTATAGGAATGGAATATGCCTAGCCCATAGTAGGCACTAAATAATGGCAACTATTATTAGCAAATTCAACAAACACTCGACAGAAATGTGAGAGATGGTGTGGTAAAGCAGAAGCTGAACTGAGCTTGGAGGAGGTCATGATGGAATACGGGGCTTGAGAACCTGCCCTCATAGACCTTGCAGGGAGACAGAGATTCTGCCCAGATGCCACTGGGAGGCCAAAGTGGAGCTGGGCAGGAAATGAAAACAAAAAGAAATTCATGATAGCAGAATATAATTAACACCCACTGTCCCAGAATAGTTCACATCTGCTTTCTGTTTTTGCTCTTGAAAACATATTTGTATTAGTTTCATCCCAGACTCAAGTTTCAGATGCCCCCACCCAGCCAGCCCTCTTGAGGTCTTGAACATGTGACCTTGGCTCTCAGTCTCTTCATCCATAAGGTTAGTAGGTGGAACCAGATCTCTACAATCCTTTCTAGACTTTAAGTCTCAACTGTGGTCTATTTTAAGTTGCGCTGTGTAGTGGCCAAAATCAACATAAACCCAAAGAGCATTATCTAAATTACTGTATCTATTCATAAGTCAGAGCAAATGCCAAATTTCCTCAATTTGAAGTCTCCCAGATTCTCAGAAAGCTACCCCTCTATGCTCCTTATTTCTATGTGCTCAGCTCATTTCTTGGCTTACTTACTGCCTCCCTGGTGACTGCATCTGGCTCAAGTTTCTGTCTTCACAACCCGCAGAAATGCCTCCTCCATGGCCTATGCCCACTCAGGGGCGTTCACCCACCCAGCCCCAAGCTCCTGGCATTGGCCACAATCTGTTAGCCTACGCCTTCGCTCTGCTAGGACTGCGGTTTTTCAAGAGTGGTCCGTGGGCACTCCAGGAGTGTGGGCCAGGACGGCAGAGCCCAGGGGCCCAAGCCACACTCGACCGTCCAGAACTTCGGGGTGGGGCACGCAAGCCCCCTTTCAACAACCTCCCTGGTGATTTTAGGCATCACAGTTGTTTGAAACTCGCTGCTCTTTCAACGACTTCTTTAGTAATTACTGTTTAAGAAAAAAGGGTGTTTTTGTTTTTTGTTTTTCACCAGGACTATAAAAGCAAAAAAAAAAAAAAGGGCGGGTTGGGGAAAGGGTCATTCAAAGGTCCGGGAACGGGGCACCGCTGGTGCCGTCGGCCCGGCAGGAATCCTGGAGGGAAGAGAAAGGCTGGGGGCGCGCGCCCGACGCCCCAGGAACCCGTCTAAAGGTCTGGGGTCAGCCGTCGAGACCATGGCCCTCGGGACCGGCAGGCTGCGAGAAGGGAGGCACGAGCCCTTCGCAGCAATCCTCCCGCAGCAGCGGCTGCCGTCCCGTTACCATTGGCAACGGCGGCAGGACCGCAGAGACTACGTGGCGTGAAGAGGCGGGACTTCCCAGCCCTGGAAGCCAGTGCGCATGCGGAGGCCGGCCGGTCACGGGGCACTTTCTATCACGTGATCTTAAGGACCGATAAAAGTGCCTAATTTCAGGGTCACGTGCCTCCGTTCCCATTAGCAACCGGAGGCTTCCAAACAACCCGCCCGCCCCTCGGTCCGCGGCGGTTCAACCGCTCTCGGCGATTCCGGGCTTAGCGAGCCTGCGCCCGGCCCCTCCCGCTCCTCGAGGCCGCCGACTCCCGCCCGCCGCCATGGTGAGTAGCCGGCCGCTGGCGCCGCACCGCGCCGGGGAGTGTGCAGTGGCCGGGGCTGGAGACGCGGAGCGGGGCCCCGAGTGGTGGCGTGGCCTACAGCGGGTCTGAGCCGGCGCCTGGGCCTCCTTGAGGAGCGCGGCCGCGCGGGTGCGGGCTCGGCTCTCCTCGGCCGCAGCCCTTCGGGTGGCCCTAGGACTGGAGGGAGCCCTCCGCTAGCAGCCTCGCTCCGCCGCGTCGCGGCAGCCCTCTGCCCTGGCCGCGGTGCTCCGGCCAGGTCACCCTCGCGGGCGGACGGTGGGGACAGCTGGCGGGACCAGGCTGCTATAGCAGAAGGCGAAGGGCGGGATTCTCATTCGCTTCCCCAAACTCCCAAGTACACACACACACACACACACACACACTTGCTTCCCCAAACTCCCAAGTACACACACACTACCACCTGCCACACACACACACACACACTACCACCTGCCACACACACACACTTACTACCACCTGCCACACACACACACACACACACACACACTCACTACCACCTGCCCTTGGCAGCATAAACAATTCTGTGTTAATGAGCTGAGCTGAGGAGGGAGAACGGGATTGAATCCAGCTTTCTGATGTGAGAGTAACGTTAAAAGTCCGAGCCCCCCCATTTAACAGCTGAGGGAATTTGGGTGACATTTGTTTTGTTTCGGCCTGTTGAAGAGAGGTCCCGTTTTCCTGGAGGTTAAAACAGTACTTAGATGAAACCAGCGCTCGGGCCCCACTGGAATGGGATACTGAGATACCTCAGCAACCAGAATTCCTGTTGAGCCCACACTCGGACCCAAGCACACCCTTGCAGCTGAGAGACAGCTATGAGCAAACAGACCACTGCCCGCCCGTCTTGATCTTAGCGCCTGTCCCACTCATTCTCTTGATTTCAATAAAGTAATCAAGTTGAAAAAAAATAATAGTGATGTCACACACACAAATTGGCATCTACTCCCATTCTGTCTTCTGTCATTCCTTTCTGTCAATTTGCTTAACAGCTGAGGCTCAGTTTCTTCATCAGTAAATAGCAGATGATAACTAAGCCAGGGTTGTTAAAATGATAAATGAGCCAAATGCATATAAAATAAATAGCACAGTATCTGTTAATAAAATATTAAGCATTCATACATGATAGATTTTATTCAATTGTACTCACTTTTACCATTACATTTTCTTATATTTCTCATAGTAAAATTGTATATGGATTTTTTGAGTAGTCAAGAACAGGGAATCATTTCTGGTACCCTCACCGCTCATCCCCTCATTTTATGGCACAATATCAAGACACTAACCTGGTAATGTTCTTGTTGTATGTTCTTAGCTTATCATTACTATTATTATTTTAATAAAATATTTCTGAAACAAAATTCAAACATTCTGATCTCCCTATTTGTATACCACCTATTATTTCTAAATATATTAGAACCAATCATGATATCTACCTCTCATTTAGCATATGGCAAAACTGGTGTCAGTGAGGTTAAGTGACTTGGTAACAGACAGTTGCATGGCTAGACTTAAACTGGATTTTAATCCAGTGCTTTGTTTACTTGTACCACACATCAACCTATGCCTTTTTCTCTCAAATGATTTGACTCTTGTGCATATGGGGAAGCAAAGGTTTGTGAATACCACATCCTGGGCTGATGCTGGTTCGTGCTGAACTCAGCTGTCCATTCTGCTCCCTTTCTTCATGCCCATTCATTTTGTTTAATTGATGCGTTTTTTAGAGGGAGAGAGAGAAATCAGTGTGAGAGAGAAACATCCATCAGCTGCTTCCCAAACACTCCCTACTGGGGGTTGAGCCTACAACCCAAGCATGTGTCCTGACCAGGAATCGAACTGGTGACCCTTTGGTGTATGGGACCACTCTCAACCACTGAACCACGCCGACCAGAACTTCACTCCCATCCATTTTAAAGGAACTTTTCTGTCTTTTGTCCTAAAATTTATCCTCAGTTTGAGCAATTTTTTCTTCTTAGTCTTAGGACAGTTTTAATTCTTCTTGAGAAGCGAGAAAATAATGAATAGATATGAGTTGGCCACTTACTCTGCACAAGGCACAATACTGGGAGCTACGTGGCATAAGAGATGATTCACAACCTCACAAACTTGCAGTCTAGTTGGAGAAGCAACACCTGGAAAAATCAAAAAGACAACTAATATAGTACTCAGTCTGTGGTGGTGCCAAATAAGAAGCAGAAATGGTATGTGCTAGTTTTTGAAGGGAGGCATAAGTTGAGTTACTGAGAACAGATTGGGAGGCTTCGCAGAGTAGGTAAAACAGGTTTGGCCCTGAAGAATGGGTAGGAAGTCTGTGATGTGCTGGAGCATGCTTGTACTGGCTGGTGAGAGCCAACTGTATGCATTTCTTCTCATGTCTACATTGAGTGACATTAAATTAGTAGCTTGAAATTGATGGGAGTATTTACACCATGGAAATCAGCAAGAGCTACAAATCAGAGTTTCAAAATTTCACTGCCACCTCCACCCCCCACCCCAGAGAGCCTGTTAAACAATTACCAACACACCACTGGGTAGGATTCAGATTCTTAAATAGGAATGGGGAGATACTTTTAATCAAAATCAGGTAACAGTGAAAATAGAAGCAGGAAATGTCAAATCATGCCCCGGGGCCCATGAGAAAACTACTGTTACTCAAATACAGTGTTCTTACAGAGAATTCTGGGGGAAACGGGGTTAGAGAACGAGTTTGGAGGGCTTGCATGTGTCGATGTAATACTATAAACAATGAAGAATGATTGAGAATTAGTGTTCATGGGATTTTTTTTAGCAAGTTGTGACATTGCTTTGAGATATTTCCAAATTGCAAGATGTTCTTTGCCATACTGATATGACTGTAAGAGATAACATCATTTCTGATGTAGATGTTCAGTTTTTTGTTTTTAATCCTAGTGGAAATCTGTCTTTGGAGTCACAACTCAAGTGCATATGCAACTATAATGTGTATATGTTCATTTATTTCTTTAAACTCTGCCATATTCCAAAAAGGATTTGAAACAGCAGAATTGAGTGTGGGCTTAAGGGTTAGATTGCTTGGTTCAGATTCTGCCCTACACCCACCATTTCAGTAGTTTGGGGAAAATTTCTTCTCTGTACCTCAGTTTTCTGTCTGTGAAGTAGGAATGAGAGTACCTTTTTCATAGGGTTGTATTGATTAAATGAGTATAACCTCTTCACTGACTTTTAGCTGTTTCATCATTACTACTATTGTTGCTAATGTTTGACATTAGTTCAGGGAGTTGGCTAATAGTCAGTGTAAACCAAACCATAAGAAAATTCTTCTGTTCACATTTTCTAGCCCTAAAGCAAATCGTAATTTCCACTTTAATCAAATAGTCATGAATTTTAAGGTAAGTACATACATGAAATGTGCTGGTTTACATTGGTCAAAATACCTCAACTGGTTGTTCTGAAACATTAGTCTACTGAATAAATAACCATTAGAGAGCATCATGGCATCTTGGGTAGTTCTTACATTATTAAGCTTTAACATCTCAAACTTTAGGAATATTAGAAACTGTGGGAAGAAAAAGACTTGGTGGAGCTGTTCATCATGCAGTTCTGGACACACATCTGTAGGTCAGCCTCTTAGACGTGAGGGTCGTAGGCATGTAGGTAACCGGGAAACCTTGAGTTGGTTACGTCATCAGGGAGCGTATATAGAACGAGAAGAACAAGGGTCCAAGGGCAGGGCCCTGGGGAATACAGATCTAAGAGACCTGCCCAAGAAGAGGAGCTACCGATGAGATCAAGAAGGAAAGGTAGGCTAGCAGCCAAGGAAAGAGCAGGCCAGCTGAGAGCAAGGCATCAGCCGTGTAGTTGGGTTTGTAATTAGAGAGTTGCTGGAGCTTTACAAAAGCAATTTGAGTACCATGTGGGTTTACGGACTGGATGATAGGATGGGAGAGCAGGGGTAGAAGCGATGTAGAAATGCAGTGGTAGCTAGAGGGAATCTCAGGTTCGGGTGTTTCAGTGTGAATGACGTTCATATACACAGTCTTCCCTATAGTCTCAAGGGAAGAAGAAACCAGTCGAGTGTCGAGAGAGGCAACAGTGGGTTAAATACAGTCCCCCAGGAGTTGGAAAGAGAACCAATTAAGGTCTCATGAAGGAGTGACCTTCAAAAGAGGAATACTCTTTAAGTTCATTTGTTGGGCACATGTCTGTCATGTGCCAGGCCCTATAAGAAGTACTGGGTATACATCAGGGATAAGATGGGCAGGGCCCTGGCTCTTGTAGACTTACGTTCTAAGGAATTGAGACTGTCGAGAGGAGTCCAGGGCGGATGTGGATGCAGAGAAGCCATGGTAAGGGCAACCATGCCCAGTGACGTTAGTGTTGGCCTCTACACTGCTGGAGGTAACGCTGTGTGCTGAGAGTGAGAGGTAAGCCTGAAAAAGAGGCTTGGAAGGTAGACCTTTGTCTCCCCTGAGAAGACTATGATAGTTCAAGTTAGTCTTAAAGATAATTCTGACTCATTTAGTCCCCTACATGAGATGTTCAGTTTTATAATTTTCTTTAATTTTTGGTGTAGCTATAAAATGAAATAGAATTTCATTAATCTCTAGCTCATAGTTGTGAAGCTGTCGTGTGGTTTAAAATCAAGACCAATTAATGGCTATGTCAAAACCAAATATATTTTGTAAAGCTGTATTAGAGGGGGTAAGGTTGAGTTGCTATAATAGAAATCCAAGAAACAGTGGCTTAAAGAAAATAGAGGTTTAGTTCTGTCTCACTTAACTGCCTGCCATCTCTCTGCTCATCTCAGTTAGGTGAGACAGTGCTGCTCCATGAAGTCATTTAGGGATACAGGTCCCTTTCATCTTGCCGTTCCCCCAACCCCTAGGGCATGGTTGCTATCTGCACGTTCAGCCTAGTCACCACCTCCGCCAAGTGTCAGAGAAATGGGGTATGGCCAGGGCCACCTCCTGTCTTAAGGCCCGGGCTTTGGAAGTAGTCCTCATCTCTTCTGTTGACATCTGTTGCTGAGAAGTAGCCATGTGGCCCCACCTGACTGCAAGGAGGGCTGGGAAGTGCCCCCTGGTGGACATCTGGCGTCTCCACCACAGGATATCCTGTGTTTTCATTGTTGGTTCCTTTACTAGTTTCAAGACTAACAATTAAATTACTTCTCTCTCTTTCAGGCAGAGTTGGGCCTAAATGAGCACCATCAAAATGAAGTTATTAACTATATGCGTTTTGCACGTTCAAAAAGAGGCTTGAGACTCAAAACTGTAGATTCCTGCTTCCAAGACCTCAAGGAGAGCAGGTATCGGGACTCTAAGGAAACCCAGTGGGAACACGGATCCTTGTGGTAGCCAGTGTGGGGGGCTGTAGCAGAGGCCTTACAAACCACTGCCAGAATTACCGTGACCAGCTGTTCACATAGAGCAGCTGCACAGCCTTGTGGACGTGAGACTCAGTGTGGTGGGAGCATTTGTCCCCAAGCATGTACGTATGGTCAGGGTTTGCAGAGTTTCAGAAGGGCCGTCAGGAGATTGTGGAGTACTTGTGGGTCAGTGATTGGTTTGCATTAAAGATTCCAGAACTTTAATTACTTGAGTTATTAATTAAGAGATTAGAGTCATGCCCTGGCCGGTTTGGCTCAGTGGTTAGCCTCAGCCCGCAGACCAGAGAGTCCCAGGTTCGGTTCCTGCTAAGGGCATGTACTTTGGTTGCAGTTTGTCCCCGGTCCCAGTTGGGGTCATGTGAGTGGCAACCAGTCAATGTGTCTCTCTCACATCAATGTTTCTCTGTCTCTCTTCCTCCCTCTCTCCTTCCTGCTCTTCTCTGAAGATAAATGCAAAACTGTCCTTGGGCGAGGATAAAAAAAAGAGAGAGAGATTAGAGTCATAAGTTAGGGCAATTAGCAAGAAAATACATACAGTTCATGATGAAGAGTTAGGAGCAGGGAAACAGCAGGAACCCATGAAAAGCTTGCTGACTGATACCAGAATCATTCGTGGATCCTGTAGCAAGATAATGGAAGATAATTAAAGATAGGAAATTTAAGTTTGATCTGGAGAATAATAGGGAGACCAAAGAAAAAGACTGACTAACACAGAGCTCTCAGGTTATTTTGGAATGAGGCTGGGGCACACTTCCGTGTCAGGTAAGACATGAATGAAAAAGGCCTCCAAGTGAGCTGCAGCTGTCAAAGCCAGGAACTCACTGGGTAGCAGAGGCCTTCCGCTGTAGACCGTTATCTGTTCCATTCATCCATCTGACCTGGTGATCTGGTTTCCTGGCCCCCAGCAGATGTAAGCAGCAGTTTAGTTGGCAAGGCAGTGGGCAGCCAGTGAAGGGGCTTCGTTACCACTGTGTGCGTCGTAACTGCCGCTCCCGGGAGTAAGCTCAGGCTGCCAAAAAGAGCAGACTTTTTAAAGCAGATGTGGTGTGTTCTGTTAAAGAACATAGAACAATTGTTAGTCTGTTTAGGAAGGACTGTCATCAAAAAGAATCCAGGCCCTGGCCAGTTTGGCTCAGCGGTTAGAGTGTCGGCCTGCGGTCCGGAGAGACCCTGGTTTGGTTCCCTCTAAGGGCACGTACTTCGGTTGCAGTTTGTCCCTGGCCCTGGTTGGGTTGTGTGGGTGGCAACCACTCGATGTGTCCCTTTCACGTGGATGTTTCTCTCTCTCTCCCCCTCTATCTGAACAAAATATCGAAAAATGTCCTCGGGTGAGGATAAAAAAATAAAATAATAATCCAGGGTTTGGTTTTTTAGAGTGTCTTAACTCTGCTGGCTAAATGAAACATGAAAGAATGCTAAATAATATTAACTTGAGGATAACTGATGAGATGTTGGCGCAGGTCCCTCATCAGGTCCTTGTGGAAGCGAGGAGGACAGGCCTGGGTTGGGGGCGTTGCTCTTCGCATTCCGAGCAGCTGAGGGAGGGGCGTTGAGGGTGGAGGTGGCGAGAAGAGGACCGTGTGCTGTGAAACCCATTGACAGGAGGGGTGCCCAGAAACTCTCCAGAATTCCACGTTCTTGGGAAGCAGGAAATGACTGTGGGGCTGTCACCCCAGTGGGCCGATGGGCACATCTCCTCCACCTCCTGAGCTGTGTTCCCATCTACAGAGTGAGGGGACTTTAAGACGTAGGCCCTGAAGCTCCCTCCCAGCCCAGCACTCTCCGTGGCAGACGGATTTTTAGTGCTGTTCTTAATGGTAACGTTCACTTTGATGGAGTGGTCAGTGGTCCGTGGAGCTTAACCAAGAGAAGTTAGGTTGGGGGGTTGTTTGTTTGAGTCTTTAATGCTAGGAGAAGCAGTATGTAATTACCATTGGTTTTCTCATGGGCCTTTACTACCATGTGACTAGTTCATACAATTATTGCAATGAAAATAGAAAGAAAGGAGAAATTATATCTTCTGGGTGACTTTTGGAATTACTAGCTGTGATAAGACAAATTTTAGTGGAGAATAAAAAGGTTTTTAATCTAAAAAATTCAAGAAAAACATAAACAGTTGGGGAGAATGTCTCTGAGATGTACTTGTATTGAAGGATGTCCTTGAAGAATGAGCCCCAGTTGAATCACTCAAATAGACATCGACATTCATTCAGCCTAAACCATTTTCAATCTGCTTTATCAACAAAGGAGATAGTTCCCAGAGAGATTTTCACAGTAACCCGTCATCCCCTAGATGTCATTAAGTGGGTTTCTTAGTTTTATTTTGCAAATGGTTTTTGTTGTTCGTGCAGAAGTTTTGGGTGGTTGTTTTTCAGGCTGGTGGACGAGACTTTCACCATAGACGAAGTCGCAGAGGTTCTGAGCGGGTTACAGACGGTGGTCCACAGCGAGGTGGAGTCCGAGCTCATCAACACGGCTCACACCAACGTGCTGCTTCTGCGGCAGCTCTTCTCCCAGGCGGAGAAGTGGTACCTCAAGCTGCAGACAGATATCTCCGAACTCGAAAACAGGTAGTCAAGTTTGTACGGGAAATTATGACCATAGCGGCCCAAGCACATTCTGAAAAGTTAGCAAATGTCTTTGCTGCTGCTGTTCTGGGGCTAGTGCCTGGGAAAATTTGGGCTGGGCAGGGGCAAAGCATTATTTCCTGAGTGACCTGTTAGGTGCCGCTCAAAATTCTCTGCTTCTGCTGTTCCTGGGTGTTCTAGGGGCATTTGCGGTTTATGCAATTACTTTTCCAGCTGTTACTAATTATTCCTTATAGTATCTCTGTGAGCCTGATTGGTATTACAATAAATCTTTAGAGACAGGTCAACCAGGAAATAAAGATTATGAAACCTTTGAAACATTAATTCCAATACCATCACTTCAAACTAGTAACCTTGGAAGTTTATTTCCAAATAATTACATTTAAAATTATACACTTATCTTTAAAATAGGAAATGTAAAAAATTTTTTATAATCCAAACAATATCAAAGAGCTCATTAATTTAAACAAAAGTGGTCAAATCAGCAAAATTAAAACATTCTTTTTTTTTTCTTTATTGTTTAGAGAGAGAGAGATGGAAACATTGATGAGAGAGAACATCGACTGGCTGCCCCCCACTGGGGATCGGGCCCACAACCTGGGCATGTGCCCCGACCGGGAATCGAACTAGCCTCTTGGTGCAGGGGTCGACGCTCAACCAGTGAGCCACACCGGCCGGGCAAGATTAAAACAGTCTAAGAAAAGCTGTGCCAGAAATCAGGAAAGACCTCTAACCCTGAGAGCTGTTGTCTAAGCACAGCTGCAGCTCGTAGGCCCACATGGAGAATGTTGACCAGCACAGGGTGAGGCCTTCAGTAGGGACGAAACCGTGGAACTTCACCAGCAGTCAGTAGGTTACTGGTGAGAAAACGGAGAGGCGGACCTGTGCCGGAGCTCGGGAGAGCAGTGACAGCCGTCCCCGCCGTCGTCCCCGCTGTCGGCTCTCACACAGTCGGCGCGCACTCTCACAGATAAGAGGAAGTCATCGGGGGTCACCCAAACCGCCTGTCTTTCTGGAGACTAGAAAGACTTTTTCAGTGGATGTCACGTGCTATGGTAATTCCGACTTTGCGAGGATACTCTAGTAAACTCAGTTTGTCTTTATTGAACATCTACTAGCTAATAATGTATATTATATGGTAGAGCGTTCCCCTCATAGCACCTCAGAAATACAGAGCTGACTGCAAACTTCAGGCATACTTGTCTTAACATTGTAATTCCAGCAATCATATTGTCCACTCGGTGGGTGGGTAACACTCGGCGCTGCGGAGACTCAGCTGGAGCCATGTGCTCGGCTTCCTGACCATTAGTAACTCAGTATCTCGCTCTGTCCCCTCTGGCATGTCATGGATTGGTACCAGGGGTTTGATTCATCTGTGCTTTCATCTAAAATGTATTTTAAATGTTTTTTTATATTTGCTTTTGTCTTCAAGAGAATTATTAGAACAAGTTGCAGAATTTGAAAAAGCAGAATTTACATCTTCCACTAAAAAGGTAATTTTAAATCCCTAACTTAATAGCCAGTATTTAAACCCCCAGTTCCTCGGAGTTCAGAGGCTACGGGAGAGCCCTCAAGGAGGAGCATTCGATTTAAGAGCAGAATTGAAAACTGCCTCTCAGATCTTCAGGCAAAAGAAGAAAAGCTTTGTAAATAACTATGAAAAACTGTTTGGTCTCCTATCACACACACACGTGCACACACACACGCGCGTCCACGTGCACAGTTCCTGCCACCCACCTGACTCCAGCCAGATAAACTCTCCACTCCCACGATGCAGCCAAGGGTGTGGGGTCAGCCACCTCGGTGTGCATCCTGGCTCTGTCTCACGAGCTGCGTGACCTTGAGCAATTTACTTGAGATGCTGCGCCTCGTTTTCCTCACCTGTCACGGAGGCCATACTACTACTCTTTTTAATCTCGTTTGCAGTGACCACTGAACATTGCCTCATAAAACCCCCAGAATGCTGCTGAGAGGCACGCATGGACATACACATACAAAACCACTTTCCACTTACTCCTTTGGAACACATTTGTGTCTAAGACACTTCTGGGTCAGAGGGAACGGATTCTTTGCTTTTCGTACATATTGCTAAACTGCCAGCATATTTGAGCCACGTTATTCTTCATCTGCAGTGTAGTTGCCTAAATCCTTATCAGTATCATGGTTTTTCCCAGAGTCTGGGCTCATACAGAAATGTGTTTCTGCTCCCACAGGTTAAATAAAAAGGTAATTTTTGGTCATTTTAAATCCCAGTGCTGAGATGCTAGGACTTATGCCTGCTCTGGCCTGAGCACCTTCCTGCCTTCCTATCTTCCCTCCTTTTCTTCCATCTGTATTTTTTTTCAAGATATGGGAGGATGGGTTTCATTTTTGTCTCTCATTTGTATTGGGCTCTGGGACGTAGCAGAGAACCAAACTGAGAATGCCCTCACCCATGGTGGTGACTTCCCGTGGATGTGTTCACAGTGTCTCCACTTAGAAAGTGTAAGTGGTCAATGATCATGTGATTTATTCTGTGGTAGTTTCAGTTTGGTTTCTGTATTTCATTTCAGCCCATCATAGACATCATAAAGCCAAAACTTGCTCCACTTAACGAAGGCGGAGCAGAACTCCTGAACAAGGTACTGTTGCCATCACTTTGGGAAACACAGACCCTCTAGTCCGCCCCCCACTGCCCGCCCCGCCCCAGTCACCCCCCCCACTGCCCGCCCCGCCCCGGTCCGCCCCTCACTGCCCTGCCCGGCCCCGCCCTGTTCCGCCCCTCACTGCCCGCCCCGCCCCAGTCCACCCCTCACTGCCCGCCCCGCCCCGGTCCGCCCCCCACTGCCCGCCCCGCCCCGGTCCGCCCCTCACTGCCTCCCCCCCCCCACTGCCCCACTGCCCACCTGGCCCCAATCACCCCTCACTGCCCGCCCCGCCCCAGTCCGCCCCCCCACGGCCCGCTCCAGTCCAGAGGGGAGACACGGAGAGGAGGAGGTTGCTTTAGGCGTGCGTCCACAGAGGGTAGTTAGTCCCCTGTTGTCATTTCCTTAATGGTACTGACAGGCCAGAAGAGGGCATACTTACTTTCCAGAAAGTCTGAAGCAGCTCTTTTTAAAAAAAAAAGTTTATCAATTACAGTTAACATTCGGTATTATTTTATATCAGTTTCAGGCGTACAGCATAGTAGTCAGGCATTAATGTAACTTACAGAGGGATCCCTGTTGTCTAGCACCCGCCGGCAGCGTACATGCCGCTCCGGGATTACTGAGCGTGTTCCCTGTGCGCAGCCGGCGAAGCGCTCTGGACGGCATCTCTTCATGGTGAAGGGAAGAGCGTGGCATTTTGACATCATTTATTGATGAGCTTTGAAGTTTATAATCCGTGATAATTAAAGGAATTGATAGTTTCATAAAAGTTAATTGCCAGTATACAAATAAATATTTTTCATGACCCCTGTATTGTCAATGTTATGCTAGATCTTGTTAGATAAAAAGCAGTATAATACCAGGCCTTTTGCCCTCAAAACCTTAGAGTCTCATTGAGAAGGGGAGCTAATATTCTGGAAACCAGATAGGAAAATGCTAATGTGTAGCCACGGGTGACACATGGTGGCAGAGAAAACACAGTGCTGTGTGTAAGGACAGACTTTTGGGTGAGGCAGGGCGCGGGCTGGGCTGAAGAGTACAAACGGGTGAAGAGGGGGGCATACTGGGCAGAGGCAGGGAGAAGGCCGGCCCGGCGGGAGCAGGGCGGGCCCCGGCACTAGGCCCGCGTGCGGAGGGAGAAGGCCGGCCCGGCGGGAGCAGGGCGGTGCTCGGGCACTAGGCCCGCGTGCGGAGGGAGAAGGCCGGCCCGGCGGGAGCAGGGCGGGCTCCGGGACTAGGCCCGCGTGCGGAGGGAGAAGGCCGGCCCGGCGGGAGCAGGGCGGTGCTCGGGCACTAGGCCCGCGTGCGGAGGGAGAAGGCCGGCCCGGCGGGAGCAGGGCGGGCTCCGGGACTAGGCCCGCGTGCGGAGGGAGAAGGCCGGCCCGGCGGGAGCAGGGCGGGCTCCGGGACTAGGCCCGCGTGCGGAGGGAGAAGGCCGGCCCGGTGGGAGCAGGGCGGTGCTCGGGCACTAGGCCCGCGTGCGGAGGGAGAAGGCCGGCCCGGCGGGAGCAGGGCGGGCCCCGGCACTAGGCCCGCGTGCGGAGGGAGAAGGCCGGCCCGGTGGGAGCAGGGCGGTGCTCGGGCACTAGGCCCGCGTGCGGAGGGAGAAGGCCGGCCCGGCGGGAGCAGGGCGGTGCTCGGGCACTAGGCCCGCGTGCGGAGGGAGAAGGCCGGCCCGGTGGGAGCAGGGCGGTGCTCGGGCACTAGGCCCGCGTGCGGAGGGAGAAGGCCGGCCCGGCGGGAGCAGGGCGGGCTCCCGCACTAGGCCCGCGTGCGGAGGGAGAAGGCTGGCCCGGTGGGAGCAGGGCGGTGCTCGGGCACTAGGCCCGCGTGCGGAGGGAGAAGGCCGGCCCGGTGGGAGCAGGGCGGTGCTCGGGCACTAGGCCCGCGTGCGGAGGGAGAAGGCTGGCCCGGTGGGAGCAGGGCGGTGCTCCCGCGCTAGGCCCGCGTGCGGAGGGAGAAGGCCGGACCAGCAGGCGGCTGGGGGACAGAGCTGCTCCCATGCAGAGGCCTTGGGCTTCAGCTCAGGCAGACCCGCTTAGGGCCCAGGCACGGGAACGGGGATAATGACGCCTGTCCAGGGCGGTGGCAGTGGAGTGGGGTGCAGTGCAGGCCGGGAATTGCCCGGAGGGTCACAGGGGCAGCCAGGTGAGAGGCAGCAGGGGCACTTTGGAAGAAGGCTGAGAGCAGAGGGCTGACGAGAGCCTGAGACTGAGAGAAAACTGGAAACCTTAGAGCTGAAGGCGACACAGGCGCCAGGGCTGTGGGCTGTCACTGGTAACCAGGGCATGCAGGTTTTTGATCTATTAGGTAATTTAAGTTTAATTTTAAAACGACATTTTTAAATGAAACAAGTAATTTCAAGTATTCAAAATACTTTGTCTAAAATAATACAACTTGAATTTACTCACAAAGGAAATTTTAAGACTTCAAGAGGAGAATGAGAAATTGAAGTCGAGGTTGAAGACCATTGAAATGCAGGTAACTGAGAAATCCCTGCACCGACTCCCTGAGAGAGTTACTTACAGACCGAGCCCTGAACGTGTTCTGTTTGAACTGGATTGCAGGCCACCAATGCGCTGGATGACAAGGCCAAGCTAGAAAGAGCACTGCGTGACCTACAGCTCGACCAAGGGGTTCAGAAGGTGAGTCAGCTGTCTCTTTCACATGTGCCAGACAGAGTTACAAAGTTTCTATTACATCCTAGTTACTGTTCCTTATTCCCCACCCCAACAGTGCCCTCCAGTGTGCTGCCCCGGGACACCCTTGTCCAGGAAAGGCCGTGAGAAGCAGTGCCCGTCCTCTGCCCATCCTGCGGGCCGGGGGCAGGTGCACAGCCCACGTGTCCTGACAGCCCTTGGCATACGAGAGATTCTTCAATACCGTTCTAAAGTTCCCACCTTTCACTCTGACATTCCAATTACAGTGGGAGAAAAAGGAAAGAAAGAGTTTGTAATGAATTGCATCTGTGTGTAGGTTTTATTATATAAAACTCACGCCCTGGCCGGTTTGGCTCAGCGGTTAGAGCGTCGGCCTGCGGTCCGGAGAGACCCGGGTTCGGTTCCCGCTAAGGGCATGTACTTCGATTGCAGTTTGTCCCCGGCCCTGGTTGGTCGTGCAGGTGGCAGCCACTCGATGTGTCCCTTCACGTCGATGTTTCTGTCTCTCTCTCCCTTCCTCTCCCTCCCTCCCACTCTATCTGTACAAAAAATGGAAAAATATCCTCGGGTGAGGATAAAAAAAAACAAAAAAAAAACTTATTACCCCATTTGCTTTCAGTGAGTATGATAAAATAGGACAGATATACATGCTCAAGTCCACGTATATGTAGCGGTGCTTGTTCAGTACACTGAAGTCCAGGCTTGTCTGAGTGTGACACCGAGTGGCGCTGTGCCGGCCAGAAGTCATCACGTGCGCAGCTCTGTCCTGGCCTGCCCTTGAGGCTCGTGCTGCCGTGGCCTCCTGTCCCGGGGCCCTCTGAGTGCCAGTTCAGAGAGCACTGGCTTTTCCAGGGGTGGTACTGTCATTCTAAATGTCTACCAAACAGTCCCAGAACCTACTTCATTGGGCTCACGTTACACTTTTCCTATGGAACATTTCTAATACATACAGAAGTAGAGAGAATAGTATAAGGCACCCCCAGGAATCACCCCTCAGCCTTACCCATCCTCAGGCCTGGCCGGGCTGCTCTCATATTTACCTCGCCTTTCTTTTCCCCACACCCCTGCTTTCTGAAGCAAACCTCAGACTCACATCATTTTGTTTGCAAATAAATATCTTTTAAATAGGAGGATACTTTTTACATGGCTTAAAAAACCAAAGGAAAATACATATGGTTTTCAGTCATTGTATACCAAGGACCACAGATTTATAAAACAGAGCTAAATACTCTAGAAAAGCTTTATAATTTCCCAAAGGAAAACAGTTGTAAACGATTTTAGATGATGAATTTGTTTTAAAGCCATTTTGCACTTTGCTCCGATTTTACTTTTAAGATTTTGGCAAAAGCAAAATGCATACATGCCTTCACTAGTTGCAATGAAATAAAATCTTTTTAAAGAGCTGATTTCAAAAACGAGTACAGAAATTGTCTTTTGTTGATAGTACTGCTTCATCTTCATACTTGCAATGATAGACTGTTTTTCTGTCTTATATTAACACAACTTTTTCTATTATAACTTTTATCCAGTCAAAAACAAGGCCCAGGTAAAAGATCCAGCTGCTTGTATTATGCTGACAACGTTTGCAAACAAGTGCATATGCATTAATATAAAAATCTGGTAAATTTAGCAAGCCATAAAGTCAGTAACCATTAATTAGGCTCTTAAAAGATTTTATTATAAGTAATGACTAAAGTATGTCTATTAAAATTTTTATATATAGTAATTTTATTATTCTTCCATATGTATCATTTAAACTACTTCACCAGGCCCTGGCCGGTTTGGCTCAGCGGTTAGAGCATCGGCCTGCGGTCCGGAGGGACCCGGGTTCGGTTCCCGCTAAGGGCATGTACCTCGGTTGCAGTTTGTCCCCAGCCCTGGTTGGTTGTGCGGGCGGCGACCACTCGATGTGTCCCTTTCACATCGATGTTTCTCTCTCTCTCTTCCTCTCTCTCCCTTCCTCTCTCTCCCTCCCGCTCTATCTGAACAAAAAATGGAAAAATGTCCTCGGGTGAGGATGATAAAAAAAAATAAGAAAAAAAATAAATAAATAAACTACTTCACGAGGAATTTTTTAAACTTGACTTTTCAGCCCTAGCCAATTTGGCTCAGTGGTTGGAGTGTCAACCTGCAGACCGGAGGGTCCCAGGTTCGGTTTTCACTGGGGACACGTGTCTTGGTTACAGTTTGTCCCCACCCTAGTTGGGGTCATGTGGGTGTTGACCACTCAATGTGTCTCTCTCATATCGATGGTTCTCTCTCTCTCCCCCTCCCTCTCTCCCTCCTGCTCTATCTGAAGATAAATGCAAAAATGTCCTTGGGTAAGGATAAAAAATAAATAAATAAATAAAATAAACTTGACTTTTCAAAGTAAAACCTTTTTGCCATCCCAGCACTGAGCCACACAACCTTGTCAAAGTTAGGATCTCACCTCTGTCCTCTTTCTCTTTGGAGTCCCAGCAGCTCATCAGTCATGTTTCACATGTTTGGAAGTCAGTGACCCTGCACTCTGCCTTGCGCAAGACACCGCGCACTGAGGGCTGAGGGTAAACGGGAGGTGCTAGCAGCCCCAGGAGCTGGGGGGGGGGGGGGGCGGCGTGTACCTGCAACACAGCATCATTTGCCTTCATCTCCTGTGAGGGTGAATCACCATCTGAAACAGTCACTGTTTGGGATGTCAACGTGAACTTATGATCATTTGTGTATTTTTTGCAGGATTTTATAAAGGCCCAAGACTTGAGTGACTTGGAAAACACAGTTGCTGCTTTAAAGAGTGAGTTTCAGAAGACACTTAATGACAAGACAGAAAACCAGAAGTCCCTGGAGGAGAGTCTAGCGACAGCCAAGCACGACCTACTCAGGGTTCAGGAGCAGCTGAGCATGGCTGAAAAGGTCAGATTTGTCTTCAGATGCCCAGTTAAGTGGTGACCGCAGTGTAGAGGAAAGTGTCCTAAGGGGAATGCTGGACAGCTGCAGACTCACGTTTTTCTCCAGGTGTTAACCGATACATGTTCTAAAGGTGGATCGTTTCTGCACACTGAGGTGCTCCGTCTTTGGCCCCAAAATACCTATGATAATAAAGATCTCCACTCCTTCGTGTAGTGTGATAGAATCTTCTTCCACAGTGGCTCGCCTGCCTGCTCTGCTCTTCTGGCAGAGGTTTGGGGTGACTTTGGTTTAAAGGATGCTATACCTTTTTCTTAATTTATATGAAATATGTAGTGAACTGAGTTCTTCACTGAAGGGATTAGACACTTAAGAATTTGGGAGCAAAAATTTAAGTAATTTAAAAATCCTCCTTAAATATAGATACTACTTCAGGATTTGGAAAAAGATCATGCTGCTTATACCTGAAAATTAGTTTTCTGTTTCAAATAGATTTTCTATATTTAGGACATAGTATGTTTGAGCTATTTGCTAACATTATATTTGAAGAAACATTACTACTTTATTGGCTTCTCATTTGAAAGAATGTATTTTTAAAGTTTGGATACTCTTGATTTTATATGAGTATTTTTATTTTAAATGAGAAAATAATATAAGCAGAACAATAGTAAAATTGAGCAAAAAATATACATTTTCATCAGATTTGTTCATTCCTTCCTTAACTATTTCTTAGTAGTGAGCTGACATTTTTCACTGTGCAGGAGTTAGAGAAGAAATTCCAGCAGACAGCAGCCTATCGAAACATGAAAGAGATTTTAACCAAGAAGAATGACCAAATCAAAGACCTAAGGAAGAGACTAGCAAAGTAAGCCATGCCCATCTGCCTCTTAGATTTGTCTCCCTGCTGGGTTAACATCTGTTCTCCGTTAAATCTAAGCTTGTGTCCAGAGAGGTCAGCCGGTGAGTAGTTGCTCTGTCATTTAGCCCGGAAGCCTGCAATTGAGGACAGCAGAGGAGCTTTGGCCTGGCCTTGCCAGTAACACCACTCGGGCTTTCGTTTCGGCGAGACCTGTGGACTCACACACGACTGCAGTGGGCTACTCTTGGCAGTGGCTTCAGGTGGCAGGATGTAGGACGGGAAACAGACAGCGCACAGGGCAGCGCTGGGCCTTTCTCCTCCGCAGTGTCCTCGCAGCATCCAAGACCTGGCCGTACTGTGCCCTCGGGTAACAATTTAGGTGCGAGGGAATGAGATCGTGCAGATGGGTGCTGTAGCCCGCATGGCTGAGAAGTCCATGCTCACATAGAAACGTGGTCCCCAGGCAGGGACAAATGCAGTTACAAGAACTTACCGCGCAGAGGGGAGTCTCAAGGTGTGGCTCCCACCGTGTACTTTGAGTTTGCTCACAGTCCTCCTGGTCCAGAGTCTACTAATTGAGGTCACTTTTTTTTTTTAATCCTCACCCAAGGATATTTTTCCATTTATCTTCAGATAGAGTGGGAGGGAGGGAAAGAGAGAGAGAAACATCGATGTGAAAGAGACACATCGACTGGTTGCCTCCCACACGACCTGACCAGGGCCAGGGACGAACTGCAACTGAGGTACGAACCTGCGAATCCAACCTCTACCGGAATCGAACCTGCGACTCATTGGTCTGCAGGCTGACGCTTCAGCCGCTGAGCCAAACCAGCCAGGGCATGAGCAGGGTCACTTTTATCATCAGCGGTTCTGTCTGGAAACTCAGCTGATATTGTATCATCCAGGGTTCCAGGGGAACAGCGTTAGGAAGTGAATCCAAGATCAGATTTGTCCTTTGAGAAGGGGCTTGCTAACCCTTTACTCACATAGCTGTGTCAGCTGGTGGTGCTGGTCTGACCATCGCCATGACTGCTGAATTTCTCCTCTGGTGTCGCCGATCTGCCTGCCAGATAGGGAGACGTGGCTCTGAAGGTATCTTAGCATTTACGGTGCATTCTCCCCTTCAGGATCCCCTCAGGCACCGTCACAGTCTTTGCTTGTGCCCAGCTCCTACCACAGCAGTGATAGAACGTGAGAAGCGCCACGTCGCTGGTCTAGTCACTGGAGATTTTTCAAGTAAACTCACTTGGTAACAATGATAACAGCAAAAGGTATTATGATATTATGCTCTTAATTTTATTGGTCTCTCTTTCCAGATATGAACCCGAAGATTAAAAACCGAAGATTCCACCCAGAAGCTGCCAGAACATGAACGTACAAGCTATTCTCACCTCAGGCATGTATTTGGAAGCAGTTTGTTATATTCCCTCTATTTCTCCAGTATGTGACTTTGCTTCTACTGTGTAAAACCAGGGTTGCTGTTTCAGTTGTCTGATTGAGAAGAGAGAACACCTACTGGTTCTGGTCATTTGTCCCAAACTCTCTGCCGAGTGGTCCAGCGTCTTAGTTCAGATGCATTGGGAATTCTTCACAGTGAAGAAGAGATCTTTAGAGGGGGAAGAAGAGTCTTACCCTTTTGCATTAGTGTGAAGAGTCTACCTTTTTAATAAATGTTAAAGCTAGCAATATCTATACTTGTGCGTTCCAGGGTAATGTAAGTAGAGAGTTATCGGAGAGAGTTACTACAAATAAACCTTATTTTTAAAAATGAAACCTAATTCATTTTCTGTTTAATCATCAAAAACGTGAATTCATTGGAAATGTAAATACCATCTATTATAGGCAACATTTTTACCAATTATAAAGAATTTAACAGTGAATGTGAGAATTTAGCTTCTTCGATCAATCTAAATTCTGTCTTTATCTCAACGGAGGTTCGGACATTTTTTTTTTTTTTTTTTTATCCTCACCCGAGGACATTTTTTTTTGTTCAGATAGAGTGGGAGGGAGAGAGAGGAAGAGAGAGAGAGAGAAACATCGACGTGAAGGGACACATCGAGTGGCTGCCACCTGCACGACCAACCAGGGCCGGGGACAAACTGCAACCGAAGTACGTGCCCTTAGCGGGAACCAAACCCGCGTCTCTCGGGACCACAGGCCGACGCTCTAACCGCTGAGCCAAACCGGCCAGGGCGGTTCGGACATTTTTGCAGCACAACTTACCATGAGAAAACTGATGGAGAAGTCAGGTGCATCTTGTATTTCCACAGCTGGGAAAAGATCTGGGCTCAGAATGAATGTCTGGTCCCCTCTTATCTGTGGTTTTGCTTTCCATGATTTCAGTTACCTGCATTGAAACTCGGTCAGAAAATATGAAATGGAAAATTCCAGAAATAAATGATTCATAAGTTTTAAATTATATGCCGTTCTGAGTAGCATAATGAAATCTCACACCATCCCGCTCCATCACACCCCAGACCTGAATCAGCCCTTTGCCCCAAGTAGCCAGCCTGTGTATGCTCCCTGCCAGTTAGTCACTTAGCCACGGTATCACAGTGCTTGTGTTCAAGTCACCCTTATTTCACTTAGTAATAGTCCCAAATGTAAGAGTAGAGATGCAGTTTGGAGATACCATAGAGCTGCGAAGGGCTTCCTCTAAGGGAAACGGTGTGGCACAGGAAACAACATAGTGCGTACAAGGTTCAGTGCGCACCGAGGTTTCAGGCATCCACTGGGGGTCTTGGAACGTATCCCCACAGATAAGAGGAGACTGTCATCTTTGTATTTATGTCCTGACTATTTTAATTACATATTAAATAAGAACACTTTTTTAAAGACTTATATTCAACATAAAATCAGTAATGAGACCTCAGATTCAACTTTTGATTATAGTTGACTTGTATGCCTTTACGGTAACTGTACCGTTATTCTGATAAAGAGCACAGGGCTCTTTGGGAAAGGGGGGAAGGAGTTGTGATCATATGATTGCTGCAGGGTTCCTCCTGAGGACTCAGCCTCCTCTTCAATCGATGGGCTCTGGATCTGAGCACTGACTCCGGTCTGGAAACTGTATGAGATATGATTTTCCAGTGTGGTGGCTGACCTCAATGTTTTATTCACCAGCTATTTGGTTTGGTTTTAAAACTCAATAACCATGGATTATCCATTCAGCTCATCTTTAGGAACACCATGATATATTAGCCAGATCCTTGGCCCCTGGTGCTCTTCTGGCCTTGTGGCCCATTAGGTTATTGCATTTGTGTTTCTGTCTAATGGCTAGGTGCTGCCATTAGGCTCTCGTTCTGGAATCCTGTCATTGACCCTAGGGAACGCAGTCACGTACGAGCATCTGTTGTCAGCTCTGGACAACAGGGTAACCACCGCTGAGCTTCTCAACAAGGCTGACGTCACATTCCTTACTGTCTCAGTGAAGGGAGTATCCTGTGCCCATGGGCGGTTCCCCTATCTTTTTTTTTTTTTTTTTTTTTTTAGTCCTCATCCGAGGACATTTTTCCATTTTTTGTACAGAGAGAGTGGGAGGGAGAGAGAGGAAGAGAGAGAGAGGGAAACATCGATGTGAAAGGGACACATCGAGTGGCTGCCACCCGCACGACCAACCAGGGCCGGGGACAAACTGCAACCGAGGTACATGCCCCCAGCGGGAACCGAACCCAGGTCTCTCCGGACCGCAGGTGGATGCTCTAACCGCTGAGCCAAACCGGCCAGGGCTCCCCTATCTTATAACCATTCTAGCATGCCACCCCTCTGAGCCTTCTGACCCCCTCCTCAGTATTCTGCAAGGCATGAAAAACCTTGGGTAGGTTGTCCAAAATTAGGTATTACCTATACATAAATGTTCTAATACTAAGGTTTCTCTATATAAATGACCAAAACTTTAAAATCAGCATTAGAAAGATCTTTAATATAGGACATAATTTCCTGTCCTCTTAAGTGGTGAGTCATAAGCATGATTTTATCTTTTCCTGCTGACTCCAAGTCACTACTGCACTGTTACATTGATACCTGTTATAGTGACCTATACTGCAATGGCCTCAAGAGCTACTGAGGTGTGGAGAGATGTGTGTCCCTATAATAAATGGTTTGCAAGCACTGTTTTTTTTGAGCTATTACATCTGATTTTTATGGTTTACCCATATCCACCCATGTCTTTTCCTATCAGACTGGTAGCTAACATTCTGGTTTTGATCAGTGTGCCAATCTCTGCTGACATTTCTAATGTGGTATGGGCTTGGAAAAGAGTAGCTTATTAGAATTCTGTGCATCCTCAGATTGAGAGCTTAGGGACTCCTCTGTGAAGTGAATAAACTTTGTGGCATTTTGGCAGCTGTATTTTAGATTGATTTATAAGAGAATGTTAATAGCTTTGTTTCAAATAATTGCAGTTTCCAGATAAATGATTTGGATAAGTAAGATATTATGCCTTTTTATTTATTTATCTTGTCTTATTGCACTGGCTATGACCTCTAGTCCAATGTCCAATGATGAATAGAAGTGGTAATAAAAAGCATCCTTGCCTCACCCTCACTCCCAGTCTCTGGGGGGATGGGGGGGGGGACACTTTAAATATTTTACCAATAAAGGATAATTGCAATATTCTGTATTAGATTAAGGAAGTTATTTTCTGTTGCCATTTTGCTAAGAGCATTTATAAAAATTATGAATGGGTGTTGAATTTTGCTAAATGACTTTTCTGTATCTATTGAGATTATATAATTTTTTTTCTGTTAATGTTGTGAATTACAACACTTAATTTTCTAATGCTAAACTGTCCTTAGAGTCCTGAAGCCTACTTCACTTGGTCGTTGTGGTGGGTGCCGTGGTCACCCTGGCACATGTGGGCAAGGGTTGAACCTCAGCTGTTCTGTCTTGTCATATTGCCTTGTGATTTTTCCAGAAGGCAAGAGGTTGGGAGACCTGTGAGGAACTGCTCCAAGGCCATCTCCCACCTACCTGCTCATCTTCCCAGGAGACTTGTGATGACGTTCTGATGAGCTCAGGTAGACCTGCAGAACATAAAGCTGCTTAGTACAGTCTAGACTTGGCTCCTTAGAATGTGGCATCCCACAGTTCATGCTGCAGTCACCCCCCCCCCCCATTTTGTTTTGGTTTTGTCCTTTTAGTACATGAAAGAAGGACCCAGGGAGCTGCACCTTTGGCTTACTCTCTTCCTTTGATTGTCTGTATAAGTAATAAACTGCCTGAATTTAGAAGTGGCTCATTATATTGTTACCATCTGACCCAGCAGCCTTGGCCTTGCCTTGGCTGCTGCTATGTGCTTGGTAATCCCCTTCAAGAATAAAGGACTATGGCCCCAGCCACTGAAGTGTCACTAGCCATAGGCCTCAGCTATGCAGACCACCAGCGAAAGAGAGCCACCTCCCCCAAGTTTACACTCCCCTTCAGGGTGACTGCATCCAACAACAGTCCGTGGGGAAGTATGAAGTCCAGGCCCTCTCTCCCCAGCACGGACTGTGTTAAAGTGTGTCTTGTCTCCAGGACTGCCCACAGGGTCGAGAGCCATTCATTGGACCTGCCCAGTCCTCCTCCTCCCCTTCCCAAGGGACCTGCTAACTGATGTCCTGCATACCGATCTCTGTCTCAGAGCCTGTGTCCCAAGGGGCCTGACCTGTGACAGCCATGAGGTATTGTCCTTTTATATCCTGCTGGTTCCGATTAGCTGATACATTATTTAGGATTTTTGCATCAATATTCATGTAAGAGATTGGTCTGGAATTTTCCTTCCTTGTAAAGCCTTGTGGAAGCCACCAACAGTTTTTCTGAATCAATAACTGATTAATATTCAACGCAACCTTCGTATACTTTAACCAGCGTTGACTCTGCTGCAGAAGTGAGAACAGTGCTTTGTTATAACATAAAGCCCATCTTCAAGAAAGGAGGGCGCAGCGTGAGCAGCGTGAGCCAGGTGGATGGGGTACCGGACCAGTGTTCCCAGGACAGCCGCCAGCTTAACCCAGTGGGTTTTCTGGCATGACCAAGGCCGCCCCCTTGTGTTCGGGGACGGATGCAGCAGGGCAGACGCTGCCGCGCCTGGGCCACAGCGAGGGCTGGGCCGAGCTCCCGGCACTCCGAACTGCCTGTTTTCTGTCACTTTGGCTTTATTGTATTTTCTGCTTCCTTAGACTCCACATTATTGCCACATATTTTTGGACTAAAAAAATAACATCTTTAGACCTGCTCCAGGGTCCACAGTGGGTATTAAGAGAGTGGTAACATTATTCTAAACAAATAAACTACCTTCTTTTATTACCTTTATGAGATACAATTTCCACATAATAACATGCACCCATTCTAAGGGTAGTTTGGTGAGTTTGGGCAAACATAGATACCCATGTGACCGCCGCCACAACAAGATATAGGACATTTTCATCACCCCACAAAGTTTCTTCCTCCCCCTTTGCAGTCAGCCTCCACCCTGGGCCCTGGGCAACACTGAGCTGCTCTCTCTCTTGGTAGTTAGAATTCATGTGATGACACTACACAGTATGTTCTCTCTCTCAGCCCGTGTAAATCCACCCCTGCTGTGTGCGTAGCAGTGCTGTCCACCGGCAGTCCCCCGTGCACGGTGTCCAGTCTGCTCATTCACTGCGCCGCAGGCTGCCCTCACCTGGATTGACCACGCTTCGCAGCTCCGCCCAGTTCTTTCTCAGGCCGAAGTGCCTGCTCTGTGCCGGGCATTGGTTTGAAATTCATTGTGGACAAACAATAA